TTTGTAATTCATCCGAACACCTTTGGATTGCCAATTGCAAAGCTCGAATTAATGCGCTTTCCGTAGTTTTTAGGCCGTATGGTACGCGGACCCATTGATACACGATACACTCAAAGTTAAACCCAGTTAGAGGACGAGAATCTGGATGCAACAAAATCTGCCAGAAAGAGTGATTAAAATCAAGTTTTAAATAAATGAAGACATTTTCGAAATCTTGCAGCAGTTCACTAATCGTCGGGGGTGCCTCGCAATCGTCCTCTATATTTTCGTTTAGTCTCCGAGCATCAAGACACAATCGAATATCTTTATTAGTCTTCATGACCACTCTCAATAGATTGCAGTACAGGATTATAGCGCGTTCAATAACCCCGGTATCGAGCATATTATTTATAGTCTCACGAACTCTATCGCGCAACTTTAACGGTACTGGGTAATGCATCTTGATCGTTGAATTCTGCTTAATCAATTTAATTTGGTGCTGATAGCCTTTTGCGCAATCCGGTTTATCTGAGAATAATTGTTTCTTATTATTTAATAACTGAAAAAATTTTTCTTTCTGTGCTTCCTCCAATTCTGTGTGATTATACGCGACTGAGCGAAGCTCGTCAATAAGACTCTCATTATTCTTATGACTTGATTTGGATTTCAATTCATTAATCGTAATTTGATTTTTATTTGTAGTATTCGCTTGTTTCTCAATTTGAAAATTTTTACATACATAATTTCGACATATATTTTCATAATTAATTTCATCCTCAGTTTCATCATTCTTATATCTTTTTGGCATATTTATTTGACATTTTTTACATTCATTTTTTCTCTTATTATAACTAAGTTCATTACTAATCGTGTCCATTTTATCAATTGTTACCAAATAAATAATCATTTCATCATTATTTTTTGATGATATAAGTCTATTCAACAAACTATGCTCAAACAACTAGATTTTTCGGAATTTTTGCACTTTTTATACTAATTTCTTTTATGTTATAATCAATAATAATTCGATTACTAATACTCCAATCGTTTCCCAAAATAATATCATTCGTTAAATATGGAAGAACAAGAAATACATGAGAATTTGTATAGTTGCCAATTGAAAATTGAAGCAAAATCTATTTTTTTACAGTAGTGCTTTTCTTTCCAATTGCAGTGACAACTGTAATATTAGATACAGGTAATTCAGAAATATTTTTATTATTTTTCACTTTTCCATAAAAAACTTCAGAAACAGCCGTCACTTGACTTCCCGAATTTATCAAAGCCTAAGAATTTTGATTAAAAATATTAAGAGAAAGGTGAGGGGCTTGTGGAAATTTGCTACTTTGAATATTTTGAGATTGGTCCGATTCATTTTTGAGTATGTCTTTCCATCTCTGAAATAAAATCAGTGGATAATTGGCATGCCGACGGACCTGTACTCAACATGCCATCTACGAGTTTAAATTATTTCCAGAATCCCGACAATTGTTTATTTGAGTATTGTAATTATAATTAGGAGGCGGTCTTGTTGTATCAGGTAAATTGGCACTCGGATTTACGTTCTGAAACTGACTAATTCTCGAAGGGGAATTTTGATTATTACTATTACTTGCACTATTGATCGGACGTTGGTACCTATTATTTCTATTATAATTTATATAGTGTGTTCGTCCACGAGCTCGGCTACGACCTCGATTCATGTTTACATTTGACGGATTTGCCGACAATTGATTTACTTCAATAATCTAACTATTATTGTTGTGGAAATTTTGACGACGACTAGCGTTACGTAATTTCTCAGCATGTACAGAGTCTAATCCCACCAAGGTACGAACGATTGTTTTTGTGTCTGATGGATTAATCGATGCGAGAGCTTGTCTCACCGAATATGGGAGCCTGTTGAATTATTATATAATTTCGCTCGTATTCTATCAATACGGGACGAATGTAGCCTGCAGCCTTGAGCTTCCTGTAAAAATATGTTTGCAGATTGCTATCGTTAGCGGAGAATCTATCGACCGACTACTTATTTTTCATTTCTACCTGAATAAGGACAGAATAAAATTTAGCTGTAAAAGCTGTCTTAAACGTATCGTAGTTTTGGAACGGAGGACTATATAAACCGTACCAAAGTCTCGCTCGATCTTCAAGAGCTGTCTGTGTTAATGTTATTCTTCTATCATTCGAAATATTTCGTAAAGTGAAAAATTGATCAAGCTGCTCTAAAAATTCTAGCGGATTAACCGACGTGTGATCCAAAAATTTAGGCAATTTACACTCTACATTAGAATTTTGCAGGCCACTTACAGCGCGTAAAACTTCGAGCATACCCCGAGCTTCTCTTATCTCGTCTTGGCGTTGTTACGCTTGTTGTTGTACCAAGTGGGAAGAAGTTGAAGCTGAGCTGCACGTGGCGAAGCGGAGAGCACGGCGACATCAGGCAAGGCGAGGTCTTGTGCCGGTAGTCAACCCCAAGCGAAAGCTAGAGCGCTCGCCGCGCTGTCCGCGAAGACCGCTCTTGATTATCGCGATTCGGCGCAGTATCAGGCCATTTAGTTGTTATAACTAGCTAGCAGGAGCTCCACATCATTGGAACAATCGGGAGCATCAGTATTTCGGGCGTCGCTTGAATGCGTAACTTTAACGCGTTACATGTGTAATAAAAATTATCCAATCCATGATATTTTTCTAAATTATTATTAAGAACCTATAAACTGATTTAGAGTAATTTTTTTTATAAATATACATGTAACAACTTCAATTGGAAAGTATGGCATCGTTTCTGTGTGAATTTTTGAATACCGATACGTGTTTTTGTACTACTTGATTACATCATATTATTTTTCAATGACGCCGCGTTTTCTTAAACTTCTTAATTACACACTTTCTTAGTTTCAATGGCTAAAATTAAGGAATTGAAGTTCGAATTAGTAAATCATTCACCGTATTTACATCGTAAATCCATCAATTATTTTCAAACTTTACTAGTAATAACATTACTTTTACTAGAGTTCGGTGTTGGGTCTTTAAGAGTACACTTTAAAGTCGTATCTGTATATCAAGCAGCTTCTTTGAAAAACCAATTTTTATCGATTTTTTCTCGAAATACCCTTTTTTGATGTTGAATATTGTGCTTACATCAAAGCTGTATAAAATGAAGGTATGTACATTTTCGAGAAACAGTATAATCAAGGGTCGCGGCAGCGACCTGCGGCATGAATGCCGGAGGCGCGGTTTTACGCGACACTATACTCAATGAAGTCGGCGTGCACAGATATCAATTAATTAATTAATACATAAATAGCGTTGCATGTAAAAAAACTTATTATATATTGTTAATATATTATACCTAGATTGGTTCTATTAAAAAATTTTAATTGTTTACTTGACATTCATTCATTTATTAATTTTTTTTTTTTTGTATGGTCGAAAACTTTTTTTCTTACTTTCTTCCCAGCCATCTTTATCGGTAAAGATGATTATCTTTAAGATGATTATCTTTAAGATGACTATAATGAAAACTTGATTGCATTTTAAACAACTCTTGTCATTTCAAGTAATAGAATTTGAATTCGAAGCATAATATAAGCATGCTATCTATAACAAAACTATTCCATCCTCAAATTTCATAAACATATTTTCACCAGAGTCGCCTTCTCGAAGCAGTCATAACAGTTCGTTTAGTTGATGCGCCAAATAAAATTATTTCGTTATTCTTATCAGCAGTGATAGACGATTCTAGAATCTATTGATGCACCAATCGATCTTTGTTTGCATTGTTACGTCTCGTGCATCAACTAAAGATAGCTAATGAATGAGACGTTCCAATATGTTGACTAGTGGTCGGATATGTCTCACTTATAATAAATATATGTAGAAATGTATGTCTGATGATTGTACTACCTTGATAATTGTAGCTTTTAATTGTGGATAAAATGTAGCAGGCTCTAACTGCTTGTTGAATTGAATAGGATAGGTTGTTGAATAATACTTGCACGATATTACTTTGTAACAGTCGTGAGTTTATTAAGTAAAATGATCACCAATTGTCGGACCAGTGTGTACGGAGTTGAGTCTTACAGGTACTTATTGACTGACTGACTACTGATCAACTGACTCGTAATGATGTTCATTGCTTTTTATATGTTAATTTTCAGGTCAGTATTGAATTGTGACATTTTGTTTTTTGCTGAATATACATTCTTGTGCTCGGTGGCTTTATTTCGAAGTGCTATTTGTTTTGCGTTTTGTCAGCTTTCTGCTGACGTGTGAATATTTTAGCAGTTTTGAATTTCCTGAATATGCATTTGTTACAAAAGAGGATGTGTCGCAAGGTGTAACAACTTTATTTCGGAGTGTCATTTACCTCGCGTTTCGTCAGCTTTCTGCTGACGTGCGAATAGTTTTAGAAGCTTTGAATTTCACGAGTGTGCAGTTGTTACAAAAAGGATGCGTCGTAAGACGTAACAGCATAACAAAGCGGACAATTATTTATGATGGCTAGCATTTAAATGCATTTACCAAATATTTCTATAAGTAATGATACGTTCCCTTAGTAATTATAATTTATATCTTACAGTTTGGATCAAAAGCTCTGTACTGCCAGCGAAACTTTTTTCTTGAAAATTTGTCACAAATTAAAAAAACAATTACTGCGAGAAAAAAACCAATTGTATTTATTGTAACTTTAAAACTGCTAATAAGATTCTGTAAAAAAAGTTTGAAAAGGAAGAAAAGGAAGAAAAGGCTTTTACAAGTCACATTGGTATGATTGCACTTAATTCAAAATAAATACATTTAATTATTATTATTATATATATATACACACACATATATATATATATATATATATATATATATATATATATATATATTATACATTCATTCACATCCTTACAAAAACCTTGAATATCTCGTATGTACTTGTCGATGTTTCTCATTTACATCATAAAAAAATAATGTACAATTTTTTAACTTATAAAGATTGATAAAAAGATACATAACACGTAATTATAATTTTATTGTATAAATAGATTTTCTAAATCTATATTACAGTCATCTTCAATATTTTTTTGTTTGATGAACTTTCTTGGCTTAATTTGATATTCACAATCTGTTACTTTATATTTATCACTAATCGTTTTTGGTTCAATATTAAAACGGTCTTTAAGAAATGCATATATATCGTTTTTATTATTCAAAACATTAAATATCAACTTTTCTTTTTTTGTTAACACTTTTTCCAACATAAAAACAAGATGATGGTGCATGGATAAAAACTGAATATCCATGATTGAAGTAATGTCAAGCCAATCTTGTATACACTCAGTAGGGGTAGCTGCATATCCAGCAAATAAAGCTGGATTAGTCAAAATTCCACTAGCGACCATTACCCCATTACATTTAGATTCTCTATACAGTACTTCTGCATCATTAAGAGATTACCATTGGCAATTAATCTAACATTACCATTGGCAACAACTGGCAGCTGTATGCAACTTTTCACGAATTTTAAATTTTCCAAATCAATAGGTTCATTGCGCATATCAGGTGTTCTGGCATGTACTGTTAAGAAAGATGCTCCTGCAGACTATACCATTCGACACAGTTCTATTGTCTTATTGATATCTTTTAGGAGACGGATTTTTACAGATACTGTGAATGGTTTTGGTATCCTATTTCTAACTTGAGAAATTAAGTCTTTCACAAGCTGAGGTTTTGTCAGAAGATCTGCACCATAACCATCTTTCATTGCCCATCTTTGTGGACAGCCACAGTTTAAATCAACACCATTTGAATACCTATATGGTTTTGAATAATAAATAATGTATATAGAAATAATCATGAAGACTAAAAAAATAATTATTATACTTACAGTGCTACTAGTTCTGTTGCTTCTACAAAATCGTTAATTTCTTTGGCTGCAAATTGTACAATTAGTGGTTTATCATTTTCGCTAGTGGAGAATTCGCTATTTCTAGCTTTTGAAGACTGTATAAATGAATCAGCTAGGATCATTGGTGTAAAACAAAGGTCACAACCATACTTTCTTACTAGGGTTCGAAACTGCAACCTAATGATAATGTTCGAGTCAATTTACGAAAGAAAAATAATTATTTCGTTAATTTTACAATTATTTTTAGCGTTAAATTACATATACTTATGTGGCAATCATTATTTATACTTACTTGCTGTATCTAACCATAGGAGCGTAAATTTTTATCATTCTAGGCTCTGCCAGTAAATCTAGAATATTTTGAGTCATTTCAGCAAACAGCATCAACACTGATTAATTATAACATTTTCATATTTATCAAATGAACAAATTTTAGATTGAAAACATCGTTTACTTTTCTATAGGTATGTTAATGTCAGAGATGAATTAGGTTATTGGTACTATGTAAGCACAGCTGATTTTCATAACCTTAACTTAGTTTTTATTCTGCGGCTTTGCACATTGTACTGTATGTATGTACGTATACATCTGTATGTATATTACATATACATACATATGTATGTTACATATACGTTACATATGTATAGCAGTACCTACCAACATTAAAACATATTGAGATTTTTAATTTTGTTTTGTTTCGTTTACGAAAAGAATAGCTAATGCACTACTTGAATGTATTTTAGAATGACTAATATTCTAGTCAAGTCTAGTAGAATTTATTATTGTAGTATTCAGTCGTAACCATAGCTCCCATTGAAATAAGTGAAATCTCCATAAAAACACTTTTTACAAAAGTAAAAGGTTGCATGAATGCTTTTTTAACTTCCTTGCCATTTTTATCGCTAAAACCTTGCTACTTCGTCCACAGTTATTTTAATTTATAAAAATGATACGAGCGCTATATATTACTTGCTCATATACGTACAGACAGATTTTTGTATCCTATACTAAAAATTATCCATTTTTCACATATTACTCTGTTTAGATCTTAACTCAATAATAAAATGTTCTTATTCGTCTTTAAACTTTTGAAAGTACTGAAATCAATATAAATAAAGCACGGATGCCATTTATAAGTGTAACATCTTAAGGACCAAAAGAATCGATAAAATACTAAAAACTCGTTTATTTTATATGTCTAGTTCTCTATGTCTAAACATCATTGTTAACAATGACTGAAACATGTTCAGTATCTTTAAATAATGAATCATTTTTATGTATTTAAATTGATATTAGATACACTACGTCTCGATCAACCTTATTTTTTTATTGGGATCGTTTTTAAATTTTTGAAAGAAATGAAATCTATTTGAAAATGGCACGGATGCTATTGATTCGTTTCAGCTGCTACATAACAAATAGTCACGCATTATTTATACGTTGAAATTTTCAATAACTTATATAAATTTTTGGCAACTTTTATTCTTGCCGGGCCTGTCGCCTGAGTTAAAAAGAAATGATTAATTTACAGCTAACTTTTCATTATACGCACCCTTACTATCATTATTTTGTGACGGAGAATTTCGGCTCGCCGACTTCTCCTTTGTCTCTCTCTCGTCCGTTCGCTACACCCGGGCTGAGAGTGTGTTGATATACACTCTCATACCTGGTTTTTCTTTGTTTGAGGTGCGGCGAACGGGCATTGGCGGAGCTGGAGGCGGCCGACGAGATGGCGATCCGTTGCCAGGATCGTCATGCGGGAGAGCGAGCGAGATGGGGAGAGCGCGAGCTGCGCACGGATCCGATGCGTGCGCAGCCGGGGGGAAGAATCGGCAGTTTTCGTTTTGGGCTAGCCGATCGCGTGCGCGCGTTTGTTTGCGTTCGTCGCCGATTTGGATTTTTCGTTGGGTTTGGAAGCGGTGCGGTGCTTCGCCACGTCGTGTTTTTTTTTGTGGATGCGCACCCGGTGTGTGGGCGTGCATCGGTGGGTTGGTTTGGTGTGAGTGGGAGTGAGTGGCTGGGTCGCGCCCAGCCAAGTCTTGCCGCACAGCACCGGTGTGCGCGGGTGAGAGCGAAGCCCGTACCGCCGGCGCGCGCGCGTTCGGCGAGCGAGTCCGGCGAGCAGCTGAGCAGCCACAGCAGCAACAACAGCAACAGTTGCAGCAGCAACAGCAACAGCAACAACATCAGCAGCAGCAGCAAGCCGCAGCCGTTGGACGAGAGCGGCCATCTTCGCTTGAGGTGAACGTTGGCGAGGTCGGTGCCGGTTTTCTCTCTCTCTCTCTCTCTCTCTTTCTCTCGCTCTCTTGCATGTCCGGGGTGTTCGCGGGTGCAACGGTGCAGGTCGGGCAGTGATGCCGGCCCCCGTTGCCGGGTTTTGAGGTCGCGGGCATTTAGGCTTAAGCGGATTATCGGGCAGTGATTGCCGATAATCCGATTAAGCGGATTAGCGTTTTTCTTGTATTAGGCCGATTGGCGAGATGGAGTGTGCGTGCTCCGTCTAATTATTAATTTGTGTGTCTTTCTTTTATTTTTCATTTATTGTGTTTGTAATAATAAATTTGTAATATATATATTTGTGTCATAAATCACTGCGTCAACCCGTTCGTTTTCCGATTTTCCTTTGATTCGTGCGCGATTGGCACACACGCTCGGTGTGCCATTCAGTCGTGGGAGCATTCGTGCCTCCCGAACCCTCCTTTTTATAAATATTGTGCGGACGGCCGCGAGCAAGCATTCTAACGAATAGTCGGCTTAAATAATTCCGTTACATGGCATCCCTTGTGGGGAAGGCGCGACGCGTGCGCGAGTAGGATGATCGCGAATCGGTAGCGGTGACGCAGGATCTGCAGTGAGACCGATAATCGTTGCACCGGTAAGTGCAACCGCAGCAGTTTTCCCGTTTCGTTTTTTTTTTTTTTTTTTTAGGATCGCCGGGCAGCGATCGCGTCGCGTCTGTCGCTCGGTCCCGTTAAGATGCCGCCCCCCGCAGCTGACGCGAACTTATACATGCGTCGATTATCTAGGCAGCCGGAGTTACAGCACCTGAGGGCCAGCATCACCAGGGTTCCGCGTGAGGAACTGGTGAGGTATATGCAGACTCAGGGGCTGACCACAGAGGGTGGGCTCCTGGTACTCCAGGACCGCGTTTTCCGCGTGTTCTTGGCGAATACGCGATCCGGAACTGAGGTGCCCCTTTTCCCCTCTGACTTCATGTCGGGGCGCATCCCCGACCCCTCCTCTAGCGAAGCGCGCGACGTAGTGCCGGACCAGAGCTTGCGCGCACGGTTTGAGGATACTCTGACCCGGGATCCCCTTTTCGCTCGCACGGGAGCGGGTGACGTGTCCTTGCTCAGCTCAACGGTCCAGGGGAAAGTGAAGCACTCCCCTCCTGGAGTTGGGCCGGTCTTGAGCGAGGACCGGGTCAACCGTACCCTGCTCGAGGAGGAGGTCCGGAGCGCTTCGACAGACTCCGACTCCGGCGATACCGCGAGAGAGGCTGCGGTAGCTGCGACGTTGCCACGGGGGGCCCACCTGGAGCAGGCCGAGAGCCCGGGGGACGTGGCTGCCGGACCTATCCCGGTTCCAGCGGTGCCGGTGCCGCCTCTTGACCCGCTATTTTTGCAGCAAGTGCTGGCGGCATTACAGGTCTTGGGTTATGGGCCTGTTGGTACGGCCTCGCTGGTGGCCGGGATACCGACGGTACAGCCCTCCCCGCTGCGGCCCTGGCCCCCGATGGGCCCGGGTGGCCCCGCAGCTGACCCCCAGCGGGGGGAGCGGTTAACGGGTTTGGACTCTCCCAAACGCAGGTGCCCTCGCAAGCTCGCACGCGAGTGGCGACAGCACTTCGCCGCCTCGAGTGGATTCGAGGAGGAGCGACGACCTGTCCTGAGGAGGCCCCCGTTGCTGCTGTCCTCAACGTCAGACTCGCCTAGTGAGGCGAGCAAGGCGCATTTGAGGCCCAGGAGACGGCCGCGCAGAGGGCGGCACGACCGGGAAGCCACGAGCTCCTCCGAATCCGAGCCCTCCATCGCTGGAAGTTCTTCCAGTGATGACGTGAGCGCGTGCCACCGGCGACGCCATCACCGGTGTCGTCGGGGGCGCGTACGTTCGGGCCATCGAGGCGCGCGCAGGGAGAGGTCGCGCGGCCGTTTGAATGGCAGGCCCGCCGATGCGATTTCGGCGTTTAGGGCCTGGAACGTGCGGTTCAACGGCGCCGCGGGATTGGGTGCAGAACGCTTCCTGGAGAAGTTGAAGCGCTGCGTGAGGTTATATAACCTCCCCGATTGTGAGGTGCTCCCGGCCCTGGATGCGATCTTCTCCGATCGCGCGGAGGTTTGGTTGGCGAACAACCTCGGAGGGTGGCGCACCTTCCATGATTTTGCTGTTGATTTCCGCCACCAGTACTGCCGGACGTTGGACCGTGAGGAGCTCTACTGTGAGCTGAGCCGCCGGATGCAGGGTGAGGATGAGTCGATCGCTGACTACCTCACCGCATTCCAGAGTATCGTGCGGCGGATGCGGCCTCCCCCGTCCGACAGACGGCAAGTGCGGTTGGCAATGGCCGGGTTGAACCCGGAGTATGGGCGCTACCTCCGAGATAGACCCGTACATGACCTCCGCGATCTCCGGTATTATGGAGATAGATTGGAGAGGCACCAGGATCGCGAGAGGAGATGGCACCCACCTTCTGCCAAGGATAACTTGCTGGTGGAGGATGCTGCGTACCGAGGGAAGGCGAGGAAGACCCACGTTGCAGAGATTGCCGTCGAGGTCTCCCAAGCCTCCAAGGAGCAGCCGGCCAGCAAGCCGAAGCCGAAGAAGAAGAAGAGCAAGGGTGCCAAGTCTTCGGGAGCACAGGTTTCGGGGCGTTCGTCATGTGGCGGTTCGGGGGCTGAGGGGTGCATGGCGAGTGCAGTGATGCACCCAGCACCCGGGCGTTATCCCAACGCCCAGGCCCAAGGGAAGGTTGCCGGTGGGGGCACGAACCCGCGAGCAGCGCCGTCCCTGCAGGCTCCAGCGCGAACTGTAGTCCTGCAGCAGGGACCAGGTGGCGCAAGTTCTGGAGGCGGCCAGGGTCCATCCCCGTTTCGAGGTCGTTGTTTTGGTTGCAACGGGGAGGGACATCGACGGTCACAGTGCCCGCATAATACTGGCCGCCAGAACGACCAGGCTCGCAGAGCACCTGTGTGCTACCGATTCAACCGGGTGGGCCATTATGCCCCCAGCTGCCCCTTTGGAGCCCCGGCCGAGTCGTGCCAAAACTGCCAGGCGCCCAACTGCACGTTTCGCACGTGCATCAACTGCGAGCCGATTCGTCGGATGGCGGAAAACAGGCCAGCGGGGAACGATGGCCCTACGCTCTCCGC